CTCCCTCCCTCCCTCCCTCTCCTTTCCCTCTCCCCTTCCCTCCCTCTCTTCCTCTCCCTCCCTTCCTCCCTCTCCTTTCCCTCTCCCTCCCTCCCTCCCTCTCCTTTCCCTCTCCCCTTCCCTCCCTCCCTCCCTCTCTTCCTCTCCCTCCCTCCCTCTCCTTTCCCTCTCCCCTTCCCTCCCTCTCTTCCTCTCCCTCCCTTCCTCCCTCTCCTTTCCCTCTCCCCTTCCCTCCCTCCCTCCCTCCCTTCCTCTCCCTCCCTCCCTCTCCTTTCCCTCTCCCCTTCCCTCCCTCTCTTCCTCTCCCTCCCTCCCTCCCTCCCTCTCCTTTCTCTCTCCCCTTCCCTCCCTCCCTCCCTCCCTCTCTTCCTCTCCCTCCCTCCCTGCCTCCCTCCCTCCCTCCCACTCCAGGACGAGTCGAGGATCGCGAGAGCTCCCCCTCGAGGGCCAGCGAGTGGCTCCGAAGATAAAATGTTTCGCGTTTGATCCAACTAAGGGAGGGGGAGGTGCTTGGGGAGTTGGAGGTAGGGGATGGGGGTGGGGGGGAGGGGAAAGGGGCGAAAGAGAGAAAAGGGGGAGGGAGAGGGAGATAGGTTATTAGTAGGGGAGGGAAGGAGGGAGGGTGGGTAGAGAGGGATAGGAAGTAAAAGAGGAAATGAAGAGAGAGAGAGAGAGAGAGAGAGAGAGAGAGAGAGAGAGAGAGAGAGAGAGAGAGAGAGAGAGAGAGAGGTCAGCATTGCAGAGTCCTTGGTCATTGCAGGGGTGAAGGAGGAAGGGGGAGAGGAGGGGGGTGAGGGGGACAGAAGTGGGTGAAACTCCCTCATGTTACTGTCAGTCACACCATGCCAAGCCTTGTTATGCTGGCGATAATGACATACTCGGTTGTTATCACACATTTGCATAATGGTTTATGCATGGAGGGAGACGCAGGTTCAGGGGCGTGTGGTGGGACGGGGGAGGGGGGAGGGGGGGTGAAAGGGGGGGGGAAGAAGGTGAGGAGGGGGAAGGGGAAGGGGAACCAGGTGGGTTGAAAAGGGGGGCGGGGGGAAGGAAGAGGGAAGGGGGTTGGAGGGGGAGAGAGGTGGAGAAAGGGGGTGGGAGTGGACTGGGTGTGAGTGGAGGAAAGGGGGGGGAGGGGAGGGGACTGTGGAATAGAGTTGAGAAGGAGCGTAGAGGAGAAGGTGGAAAGGAGACGAAGCGGAGTAGGAGTGGAGGAGGAAGGGGGAGAGGGGAAGAGGGGAAGAGAAGGGGTTGAGGAGGGGGGGAAGAGAAGGGGGTTGGGGAGGGGGGGGAGTGTCAAGCCTTGCCTCCCCTGCTGCACCTGACAGCGCGGACCCCTGGCAACAGCAGCTCTGATAGCGAGCGAATGCCGATGGTGATGTTTTGAAGGGCCTCACGCCGGCGAAGCGCGCAGGGGAAGGTGGGGAGAAAAGGGGCTTGAAAATGGGAAGTTTAAGCAAATGGAGGTGAATGTAAACACGCTGAAAAAGTCTCGTTGACGATCTCCTTTTTTTTTCTTCTTTTTCTTATCCTGTTTCTCTCTTTCTCTCACTCTCTCTCTCTCTCTCTCTCTCTCTCTCTCCTCTCTTCTCTCTTTCTCTCTCTCTTTCTCTCTCTCTTTCTCTCTCTCTTTCTCTCTCTCTCTCTCTCTCTCTCTCTCTCTCTCTCTCTCTCTCTTTCTCTCTCTCTCTCTCTCTCTCTCTCTCTCTCTCTCTCATTCTTGTTTCTCTTTCTCTCATCCTCCCTCTCCTCTGAATCCCTTCCCCCCCATCCTCCCCTCTCCCCCTCCTAATCAGCTCTCCACTCCCCCCTTCCTCTCTTCTCCCCCCCCCCCTTCCCCTTTCCACGAATCCAATCGTCCCGAGTCGAAGCTTTCACTGTAAACACGCACCTTTACTGTCTCCGTTGAACCCTTCGCCTCATCCCATTCGTCGCCGTCGCTCCTAAGCTGAATCGATTCCCCTCGCCCCCCCTCCCCTCCCCTTCCCTCCCCTTCCCTCTCCTTCCCTTCCCTTCCCTTCCCTTCCCTTCCCTTCCCTTCCCTTTCCTTCCCTTCCCTCTTCCCTCATCCTCTCCTTCCATTCCTTTCCCTTCCTCTTCCCTCCTCCCCTTCCTTTCCCTCTTTCCTCCCCTTCCCTTCCCTCTTCCCTTCCTCCTTTCCTTCCATTCCTTTCCCTTCCTCTTCCCTCCTCCCATTCCTTTCCCTCTTCCCTCCCCTTCCCTTCCCTCTTCCTTCCTCCTCTCCTTCCATTCCCTTCCCTTCCTTTTCCCTCCCCCTCTACTTCCATTCCTTTCCCTTCTTCCCTTCTCCTCTCCTTCCCCTTCTCTTCTCTTCCTCTTCTCTTCCATTCCTCTTCGTCTTCCCCTATTCTCCTTTTCCCCCTCTCCACTCCTTCCCCTCCTCCTCTCCTTCCCCCTCTCTTCCTCTTCCTTTTCCTTCTCCCCTCCTCATCCCCTCCTCCTCCTCCTCTTCTCCCTTTCCCCTCTTCCCCTTCCCTTCCACTTCCCTTACACTTCGTTGAAAGTTTAGTTTAGTTGATTTTTTTAAATGGGGTTTATTTAGCTGTTTTTCTTTTCTTTCTCTGCTCTTTTTTTCCTCTCTCTTTATCTCATTTTCTCCTTTCTTCTCTCCCTTCACCTTCTCTCTTCTTTCATTTCACTCCATACATTTACTGTTCTCTTCTCTGTGTCTCTTTCCATTCCCTTCCCCTCCTCTCTCCCTTCCATCTAGCTCCCTCCTTTCTCCTCTCTTCCCTACCTCCCTCCTCTCCCCCCTTTCCCTCCCCTCCCCTCCCCTCCCCTCCCCTCCCCTCCCCTCCCCTCACCGCCCCCTTGAGTGGCCGAAGTTGTTAATGAAGCGGAAATTAGACTAATGGGGAAGCTCACCATTGTTGGCTTTGTTGAAGGACACATCGATCCGATAATAGAACGATTGTGTGATTCAATTTTTTTATTATTATTATTTCTTCTTCTTCTTCTTCTTTTTAGGTCTTGTTCGCTTTTTTTGTTTTCTGTCTATGAGGTCTTGGATGATCAAAGTCCGATGGAGCTAAAAAGGCCGGCCATAGAACGGTTGTGTGATTCGATAATTTCTTTTTTTTTCGGCTTTTTCGGTATTTTTCTTTTTATATTTCTTTCCTTTTTTCTTTTCTTTTTTTCCTCTCTTTATAATTAATTTTAGATCATCAAAGTCCGCCACGACCGAGAGAGAATGATTGTGTGATTCTGTTATCTGTTGTCTTTTTGTTTTTCTTTTCTTTTCTTCTCTTTATTTCTTTTTTTTTATAGGAGGATGTGTTTTCTTCCTTTCTTTCTTTATCTCTCCGTTTTTTTCTTTCTTTTCATTTTTTATTCTCTCTCTCTCTATAAGCTTCTGAATGATCAAAGTCCGCCGGGACCGCGAGCTGCCTGGCAATGCTAATGGTTGCTGATGGTAATGCTGCATGATTGGAGGCGAATAAGTGGGCCGTCGTTATTGCAATTTGTTTTTGGGAAATGATCGCGCGTTGAACGGTTTTGTTTTTGTCTTTGGTCTCTTTTGTATTCCCTTTTTCTTCGTTTCTTTTTTTTTAAGGGGAATAATATCTCGTCCTTAACAATAGTTGGGTAAATATTGACACTTGGGACTAAGTGGGGAATGTGACATGACGTACAACGCGCGGTGTAATAATTGTTATTGCTTTTGGTGATATAGTATTCTGTTGCTATTATTATTTTTTTTTTTATGATCGGTATTATCATTTCATCATGAGAATTGTGTGTGTCGCTATTACTGTTATTTTATATTTTTATTGTTATTGTAAGGATTTTTTTTTCTTTCATGGCCTTCACGTGTTATTAATGGTCGTATTTTTTGCTCGACGCTGATAAGAGAATTGATAAGCCAAAAGAGCATTAATAGTTGACAGGTTGATTTGAATTAATTAATATTCGATACTGGTGGGTTTGTTATTTTGTCTTATTTATTCGATTGTGTTCATTATATCCTCTTTTTTGTGTTTTTTTTATTTTTTTATTTTGTTAAGACCTGCCTCGGGAGCTCTGCACCATCTTGGGAGTCTAGAGATTCAGGGAGACAACTCTACGGATATTGGTAACCATGTTTAACATTGTCTTGGGGAACGGCAATGACTTCTCTCGGAGGTGATGAGTAAAACACGCACGCATAATCTTGTGTGTTTGTGTGTGTGTGTGTGTGTGTGTGTGTGTGTGTGTGTGTGTGTGTGTGTGTGTGTTTCATTTTTTTATTGATGGTATATGGAATTTTGTATTGATTTGTGTTTGCATTTGAGTAGTTTCTACCGGGATATCGGTATTTAAGCAGTAGTTTTGAATCTTTTTTAGTTTTTTTATTATTCATATATATGTAAAATCCATAATACTCATTCAGATTTACCTGCTCACCCGCGGCATAATTTATCCCTCCACCTCGCCCATTTCCTCCCTCTCTTTCTCCCTTCTCTCCTCTTCCCCTTGTCGTCCTCACTCTTTCCCATCCTCTTTTTCGCTCCCTTCTCTCTTCCTCTTCTTCCCACTCCCTCCCTTCCTCTTCCTTCCTCGCACTCCTTCCCACCCTTTTTCCCTCGCCTCCCCCCCCCTCCCCTACTTATCTATTCCCCGCCTCTCCCCTCCCGAACACAAACGGTAAATCGTAAACAAAGCAGGGTCAGCTGAGCTTGCACGTGACCCCTGACCCGGCCCCGAGTGCCCGCGCCCGTGACCCGCACCTGAGCCTCTCTCTCGCCTGTCTTTCAGGGCCGCAGGAGGGGGGTTGCACGAGGAAGGCTTTTGGGCTCTGGTTCGTAGGTGGATGAGGCGCTGTTCCATCAGGTACACCCCCGCCCCCTCGCCATGGGGCCTCGCGACTTTTTTCTTTTCGTTTTTTTTTGTGCCTTTTGTGGTTATGAGTGGTTTTTTTAGGTGTTTTTTTTTTGTTGTGTTTTGTATATATATTGTTTTTCTTTCTTTCTTTCTTCTTATTTTTTCTATTTTCTGCTCTA